TGCAGAGGAAGATGTGCAGAGGGCAGCTGGCTGGGCAGGGGGTGTTAATCCTCTCTGATGGGATAACAAATCCATTCTGGGGCTTAGTTTCTCATGTCTTTTCCCCAGAACACCACGTGGTTAATGGATTCATTAGCATTAATAAGTTATTTGCACCCTACCCATTGGCAAGTAACAGGGAAGGTCAGGTTGACCCTTCTGGAACGTGGAGGTGGATGGACTTGGCAGAGAGAACTCGTTTATTTTGTGGATATTGGGGATTCCCTCGTTCTGCATCACTTTTGTTTCTCATCCTTGCTCTCCTTCCTCTTTTCCCCTTTTTGGTTTTGCCAGAAAGGTCTTCGAGCAGCAGAGCTAAGGAAAGGTCTTCAGTTTGCCATGTCTGCTGATGTGTCCCTTCCCCTCTTCACTTGGTGATGGTGGTGGAGCATCACATGGGAGCATCACATCACATGGGGGAAGATTTTGATGTGTCTGCACTCAGGGAAGAGGGAAGGGCTTGAAAAGGGCTGGGCAGAAAGTGGCCCCACACACAGATTTTGGCTTGTCATAGGGACAAGTTTTAGTTTATAAGTTATTTGGGGACAGCTGCAAAAGTGAGGAAGGCAGAGGAAAGGGAGGATAAAATCGGTAAGGCAGCAGCAGAACCGAATGGAGCTTCCCCCACCCCTCACAGCCAAGCTGTGCTTTGTTTCCCCCGTTCCATTTTCCTCCCACAGACACCAAAGTGTGCTGTTCTTGTTCTCCAGACAGTTTGTGCCCAGATCTTCTCTACTCAGCTTGTCAGATCCCAGCCCAGGGCACTGGGTCAGGCAGCCCAGGACTTCCCAAATGGTGATTCGTGGGATGCACAAAGTCCCAAATCTCTCTGTGTGTGTGTGTGTGGCTCATCCAGGGCCATCCTGGTTGCAGTGGGAGGGGAGTTGATCCTGTAGTTCTGCCCCTTGGGAATTAGAAGCCACTTCTCGGGTGTCTCCTCTCTCCTCCCTCTGTTTCCTCTCCCAAGTTTCCCAGCTGCCTTTGCCAAAGTCTGTAGCACTCCCAGGCACATCCCTGAATCCCAGTGTGTTTTAATCCTTCACAAGCCTCTGTGTGACCGACTGGTATCTGATCTTCCAACAAACAGTGTCCTGTGGAGCTCCCAGCCTGATCCTCAGCTCAGGTTTATGTGGCAGTGTCTTTGTGTGAGACCATTTGGTGGGAGGGGAAGGAAAGGCTTTCAGGCAGTCCTGGAGGACAGACATCTTTGAAGTTGAAATCTCGGGCACAGGAACGGGGAGGATGATGTCACAGCTTTGTCTGGAGGTGTGGGAACACCGTGCAGTGGGAGGGGAATAGGTGGGGAATACAATCCCAGCCAACATTGCCCAGTTCCTCCAGTGTGCTCCTCTTGCCTGTTCCTGAAGCTGGATGAACTCTCAACTCCCATCTCAAGTAATTCATTGATGGAAGAGAACCAAATTCCCCAGGAAAGTTGTTCAGGGCTAATTTCCCCTCAGCTCTGCCCTGCAGCAATTCTCTGCTTATCACTGAGTGACTCCTGCTTGACTCAAGGGGTTTGGGGAGCAGTTTTATGGAATAACACTGGTTTGGCACCAGTTAGAGCTGAATTTATTCAATAGATAGGTGCATTCAGAAGCAGATAAAAATAGAGCCGTCCTGTCTTGAAGAATTGCCTGCTTATCTTCTCCCCACATCTTGCTTGGTCGGGTAATTTGTGTGTTGCCTTTCCCTTATCTCCCGATGATTGGGGAGCATCTGAGATCCCTGCAGCTCTGAAAAGTGGATAAAGCAGTGGATAAAGTCAGCCCTAGGGCAATGCACCTTCCCATTTTGAGCAGTGCTTCAGCAGGGAGTGCTGCTGGCTCTCACTAATGCTGAGCAAACAGCAGGGAAGGTGCTGGGCTCTGCCTGCTCGCTGATCTGGGGCAGCACTCGGGCAAAGGCACCTCCCTGCCATGCTGCAGGTACAGCACTTGCTTATCTGGGCTGTAACAGAGCCATAAACTTTATCCAAGCCAATGAAATCAGAGATGCAGGAGGCACACAGTTCCCATTAATGTGTCTTCCTTTTCTTATGGAAGTGCAGGAGGAATTCAGGGTGGCCTGGGGCTGGGTCCCTCCTTGTGGAAGTTCAGCTCCCTCATCACATACCTGCTGAGGGGCAAATCTGTTGGAAAGCTGCTTTGCCATCAGCTGTTCTGAACATCAGAAGAGTTACCTTAAAATCCTTACATACCAACCAAACCTTCCCTAGATTTTCAGGAAGAACTGCTGGGATTTTCTGTCCATACCCTCTCATTTCCTTCTTTCAACTGCCTTGTTTGCTTGGGGAAACTCAGGCTGATCTTTCAGTGGAAGATTAATGATGCCTTACAGGATGGAAGTAGCTTTCTAGAGGATTTTAGGGTATCTCACAGAATCCCAAGACATGCTGGGCTGGAAGGGACCCACAGGGATCATCCAGTCCAACCCTCAGCCCTGCACAGAACCATCCCCAAGAGCCACCCCCTGTGCCCCAGAGCATCATCCAAACCCTCCTGCAGCTCTGGCAGCCTTGGGGCTGTGCCCACTGCCCTGGGGAGCCTGGGCAGTGCCAACCACCCTCTGGGGGAAGAACCTTTCCCTGAGATCCACCCTGAGCCTGCCCTGACACAGCTCCAGCCATTCCCTGGGGGCTGTCCCTGCTCCCCCCAGAGCAGAGCTCAGTCCTGCCCCTCCTCTGCCCCTCCTGAGGAAGCTGGACCTGCAATGAACTCTCCCCTCAGTCTCCCCTTCTCCAGCTGAACACACCAAGTACCCTCAGTGTCCTCACACGGCTTCGTCTCATCTGGGACTTGCTGTCCCCAGTCTGGTGGGGCTGAGGGGCAAAGGAGAGAGAACCCACCCAAGCCAGGGACAGAAACCAGCACCTCTTGCTGCTGCTGAACCAAGGGATGAATCATTTCCTCTCATTTTTCTCTCTCTCCCCCCTCCAGGACCTACAACCTGACCTTCCTGCACCCCTACTACCGCACGGACGAGGCGGAGGAGAACCCCTTCATCTGCTCATCCCACCGGGAGAACGGGATGCAGAAGTGCTCCAACATCCCAAACAGGAAGGAGTACAAGGTGGAGTGCACCTTGAGCATGGACTCCTACACCCCCAGTTTGTACCACCCCGACTCCAGCAGCAGGAATTCCTGCATAAACTGGAACCAGTATTACAACGTGTGCATGGCGGGGGACGTGAACCCACACAACGGAGCTATCAATTTTGATAACATTGGATATGCCTGGATAGCTATTTTTCAGGTAGGATTCTGCCAGAGAACTTGGTTTTCCTCTGTTTCTGTTGAGTCTGTCGTCTTTTGCTTGGAGAGGTTTTGATGAAGGCACCTGAGGAGAGGGGAGTTTGTACCTGAGTGAAACTGCGAGTAGAGACACGTGGAGAAAATGAATCAGGCAACAACTGCACAAATGGTGCGGTTTGGAGAGAATATCTTTTTCTTTTTTGTGCATTTTAGAAGAGGAGGAGAATGATTCTTGAGGCAGGAAAAGGTAGGGCAAGTTCTAGCTCTGCAAACCAGCTAAATCCCAGGGATTTTGGGGAGTAGGGTCTTTGTTGCATCAGGAAACTGAGAGTGTTGTTGAAGTTCTTAAGCAGGATTTTATTTCCTTCTAAAATGCATGAGCCTGATGACATGAGTTAGGCCTGATTCTAGAATTAGAGGATGATACTAGTGAGCATGGTGTGCTGGAAGGAAGAAAAAGCTGCTTTGGCCAGGACACCTGTGAGGAGATGCTGCTCACGTGGAATTTGAGCCTCTCTTGATCCACCCCTTTCCAGCTCTTCACTGCAGACCAAAGAGCTCCTGGCTCAGACTGGGGGGAGCCTTTACAGGTGGCAAAACACTGCAGCAACTGAAGTGTTCTCAAAGCATTTGTAGCTCTGGAACACTGGGGAGATCATCCACACAGTCCAGAGCCTCTGGTCTCCTAGGGCTGCCCTATTTGAAACGATCCACCTATTATTTTCCATGTTTAATTGGCAGTTTCTGGTTTTAATACATTTCTCTGCTCTTGGCTAGATGCCCTGTTTTATTTAGCCCTCCTGAAGTGCAGGTGACATCTATTCCTAAAGGAGAAAAGAACTCCCCTTTTAGTTTTGTTAGTGATGAATAATTACTCATTCTGAGCTCCACATTTAATTTATGAATTTCCTTCCAGTTTCATATTACAGCATGAACTTTAATAACTTCCAGTTTTCACCTGGGACTTGTAAAGGGGTGAGTGTTTGCTGTGAGCATCTTGTCTGCTCTCTGCTGTCACAGCAGCTCCCCTTGAATCACACTGCTGGTGGTTCAGAGGCTTAGAACCAGATCCAGGAGGGCTCAGACAGATCCCACCTCTCTGCGAGGCTGTTTGTGAAAATGCTTTGGTTCTTTCCTGGAACTGGTGTGTCAGGAGAGGAGCTGCTGACTGGGGGTGAGTGCTGGATAAAGGAAAGAGGGAAATCAAAGTAAATGGGACTCTGGCTGCTCTTGAATTCTGCTTTTCCTCCACTTCTTTGCCAGAGCTGATGGATGTGCCCAGGAGGTCCTGTCTGACTCCCACCATGGGCACCCATGTTCTTGCAGGGACAGGGCAGAGGACAGTGGATTGTGCCAGGGCGTTGAGGATGACCAGGAGCTTCCTTTTTAACCTCCAGAGCCTTTTTTTTGCAGACTACAGGTTTTCATTTCACCTTGGGATTTGATTTCCTCAGCCTGCAAGTGTTCAGCTTTAACTCGGGAAGAACAAACCAGCCCCGGGAGAGGTTTCAGCTGATTCCTTTGGGCAGAGCAGAGTTGTCTGGCAAGGTTGGATATTGTATCCATAGATCATTCTGGCAGCTGCCAAGAGGTTTATGATTGGGTTTAGTGCTGCTTAGGCCGTCCAAATGCTAGAGAGGATTTCCAGCCTAAAATTCTTGTGAAGTCTTTATTCCTTTTAGAACCAAGGGCTCGTTTTTGGAAGCTGGGAGCGATACAAGTGCAGGTAAAAAAGGCAGCTGTGGGGGGCAGGGTGCTTTGCTTAGCCAGGGGATGGAAAGAGTAAATCATGACTGCAGGAGGTGAGATGCTAAATCAAAACAATTGCTGTGAGCAGAGAACATTTAACAAATAAAGCTGTTGAGCTGTGCTCTCATTACATTTAATGGTTGAAGCTGGGGAGCACCAGGTCAGCAGCGAGATGAGGCCTCAAAGTAAGTAGTGCAGAAAGTACAACTGATGAGTTTAGTAGCTCAGGAGCTTCCCTGTGAACTGGTGAGGAATTACTGGCAGAAAGCACTTGGATCAGACAGGCCCGATTGTCCTGATCCATTATTCTGCAGAATAATGAATCTGTGGTGCTTTGTGAGTGTGGAGTGAACCTTCAGGTCTGGCAAACCTCCCGTGGGCATCGTGACAATCTGAGGATGCAGCTGGATGGAGCATCCCTCGTGATTTATCCCAAATGAGGTGGACATCCAGTGGGTTTGTTCAGCCTGGAAAAGTGGTGGCTTCGGGGTGGCCAAATTGTGGCCTTTCAGTGCCTGAAGGATCTACACAAAGATGGAGAGAGACTAATTACAAGGGCATGGAGTTGACAGGACAAGGGGGGATGGCTTCAAACTGACAGAGGGCAGGGATAGATGGGATTTTGGGAAGGAATTCCTCTCTGTGAGGGTGGGGAGGCCCTGGCACAGGTTGGGCAGAGAAGCTGTGGCTGCCCCTGGATCCCTGGAAGTGTCCGAGGCCAGGTTGGACGGGGCTTGGAGCAACCTGGTCTAGTGGGAGGTGTCCCTGCCCATGGCAGGGGGTGGAAAAAGATGAGCTTTAATTCTGTGGTTCTAAGATTTAGTGGGGTTTAAGAGCTGGAAGATTCCAAGCACAGAGACTGCAGGTCGTGCCTGGGGGTTTCCAAGGGCACAGGTTGATGTTGTTGATATCACAACCAAACCAAACCAAACCAAAAGCAGGTTTTTGACGGGGAAATCTGAAAGTCTCTGCTCCAGAACATCCTGCAAATGGTGCTCCAAGGTTGCAGGAGGGGCAGGCTCTTTCAGCTGCCACCACTGGGATTCCAGCAGCCAAGCTGAAAGACATTTCCCTCCGTGGGGGTGATCCTGAACTTGCAGGTGGCAGCAGGACACACTCGAACAGTGAAATGAGCTGTTGACCTTCCAAGCAGAAGGGTAAGCCAGAGGCACCAGACAGGAGGACAACCTCGTGCAAATCAAAATATCTGAAAGTGATAAAGGCAA